CCATGATGACAATTTTGGTACTAAAAACTGAAAGAAAACATGGCTTACCTCGCAAGGTGCTTACCTATTTTCCCAGTGGGAAATTAAGATTATTTTTATGTGTGAGTCAAATTATAAAGAAGTATAGTATCTAATATGGATTTATTATCTAATTTACACTGTATTTTAAGTACTGAAATTGCAAAACCGAAACCAAAAAACAAAATGAATTGAAAAGTTTGCAAAGATTAAAGCACATGCGACAGCAACAAATGTACCTAAGCCTGCTGGTTACATATAAATATAAGTTGATCTCATTAAACTTTTAAAATGAAAGTATACTAAATTTAAGTTTGATTATATGTACATATTTTTGTGCATGTATTATAGACTTTTCAAAATTGTAGTAATACGTTCCAAAATTTTTCGTAATATATGTTATAGAGCTTTAGTAACAAAATGACGAATAATATTTAAAATCGAAGTGAATTTGAATTGGGCGAATTTTATAAAGAAGCATTGGGTATCAGCTTTGTATACATTTATATGTTGGGGAACACATGCGTAGACATATAGTATGTATGTATATGCACTTATATGTTATGAACTTAGTGCCTATGTAGCTATGTAATTAAATGATTCTTTTGTACTTGTTGAAATGTCATAAAATTAGTTTTACTACATTTTATACTTGTAATAATACTGACTTACCACATTTCTTAATCGAGATTTGTTGTAACATTTGTGAAAACGCTAATACATATTGAAGTATTTTAAATGCATAATAAAATATAATTTTTCATTTAACTCTCTCTGTGTAATCGTGTAGTTAAAACGAAATAATAAAATTAAACTAGAATAGGAGGTTCCCCACTTGAAAATCATTCAAATATTTAATTTAGTTGTAAAATTCGTATATAGGCGCGTAAATTCCGACCAAGGGGATATCCAGCGTTGCTGGCGCCGGAAATGACATACATTAACATATTGCTCCCTCAAGTAGGCTACAAAAATATTCGCTGTATGTTTTTTGTTTATCACTGCGTTATTTTATTTTACTCCGTTTACTCCTATTTAACGTAAGCGAAATTTTTTCTAAATTTAGCCGCCATCGATTCGCCGATGGCGAGTGGCGGAAAGAAAGAAATGAATGAGGTACAACCAAACTCGCCAACGTCCATCGCTGCTAACTAACTTTGTTGTTCCTTTCACAGGAATTTTACAGAATTTTTCGTCAAGTGGGCGGAACTCAAATATAGCGAGCAGAGAAGTGGCGAATCGAAGCGG